TTATTGCAATTATAGCCTACAAATGTAAATAGGGTTATGCATAAGATAATTAAAGCTTGATATAAATATAAATGATAAAAATTAAGCAATAAAATTATTATAAAACCCTTTGTGATGCAATTAGTAATTATTTATATAATAAAAATGCTAGGATAAATTAATTAAAAATCCTTTAAAAATGCAACAATTATGGAAAAATATTGATTGATGCACCTGCATTGTTTTGAATATATATATGTATTTTTAAAAATAATATAGGAAAAAATTGGGTATCAACAACTTCCCCTCTTTACCCGGGAAGGATGAAAGAGTTATCGGGTAAAGATATGATGGCCAATTTTGACCGAATAGGGTAATTTGAGAGACATAGGCCGCACTCTGGTTTCCAAGATACCTACATATCCTTGGTTTTATAGGAATCAGGCCGTGTGTAGTTCTGGATCCACCGACGAAGTATACCGATAGAGTTATCACAAGGATGGATACAAGGTTTCGAATAGGTGAAATGGTTACGGTGAGCGGTCAGGTTTGAAATAGTATGAAGGAACTGGAGCAGGATTGCTCCTGTTAGGGATGATGGTTGCTCGTCGGGTTACCTACAAATAAAGGATGCACTACAAGCATATATCTCTACGTAAATTTAAACATGATGCAAATTCCCTTCAGACCATGAGAATTGTCTTTGGACGGTTGAGGATGAAGTCCTTAGACCATGATGTACCGGGCCATAAATTGTACGGTAAGGGATTCGCAGGCCATGAAATGATGTTCTCGGGACATGAAAATAGTTCATCCGAACCATGATGCCTTTGAATAATGATATGCAAGTTTGAGAGATCCGCAGGCTATGAGGATGATGCCCTCGGACTATGACGCCTTTGGACAAGTTGGCTATATATCAGCCCATGAAGTGTATAGGCATGGTACCAAAGGTAATAACAAGGCAAAGCTTAGCCTTGTGAAAAGTTTGGGGGCAGAGCTTAGTCCCGAGAGAAGTAGATAATGCAAAGTTTAGAATAGAGCAATAGTTATGTAGAGGGAGACAAAGCTTAGTCTCACGAGAAGGCAGTGCTTAGCCTTATGCAGCTAGGGAGGCAGGGCTTAGCCTCGTGCAAGATTTGAGATGGAGCTTAGTCTCATGCAAAGAGAAGGAAATGCTTAGCCTTATGCAAATACGTAGGCAGGGCTTAGCCTCATGCCAAGAGAAGGCAATGTTTAGCCTTATGCAAATATGGAGGCAGGGCTTAGCCTCATACAAGGATCGAGATAGAGCTTAGTCTCATTCAAAGAGAAGGAGTGCTTAGCCTTATGCAAATATGGAGGCAAGGATTAGCCTCATGCAAGATTTGAGACAGGGCTTACTCTCATGCAAAGAAAAGGCAATGCTTAGCCTTATGCAAATATGGAGGCAGGGCTTAGCCTCATGCAAGATTTAAGACATGGCTTAGTCTCATGCAAAGATAAGGAAATACTTATCCTTGAGCAAATGCCGAGGCAGGGCTTAGCCTCATGCAAGATTTGAGACAGGGCTTAGTCTCATGCATAGAGAAGGAAATGCTTAGCCTTGTGCAAATGTGGAGGCAGGGCTTAGCCTCATGCAAGAGATAGGGCTTAGACTCATGCAAAGAGAAGGCGATGCTTAGACTTATACAAATGTGGAGGCAGGGCTTAGCCTCATGCAAGATTTGAGACATGGCTTAGTCTCATGCATAGAGAAGGAAATGCTTAGCCTTGTGCAAATGTGGAGGCAGGGCTTAGCCTCATGCAAGATTTGAGACATGGCTTAGTCTCATGCAAAGAGGAGGCAATGCTTAGCCTTATGCAAGTGTGGAGGCAGGCTTAGCCTCATGAAAGATTTGAGACAGGGCTTAGTCTCGTGCAAAGAGAAGGAAATGCTTAGCTTTATGCGGTAGACAAATAGCAAATAGGAGCAGAGTACTTCTTAGCTGGAGATATATTTGCGCTCGGCGGTCCAGTTATTATGGTTTTAAGGCATACACACTTGTGGTTATTCCTTGTCCCTGCGTTCAAAAAAAATCGTGAGTTTTGCGGAGGAGGTTAGTTCGTGCCTTTGTCTTGCTTGCTTTGTTTTGCTCTATTTTGGAGGCCCTATTTGAGTTACCCTGAGTAACACCTGGCGGCCATAGAAATAAAGTTTTCTAAAATATGCACTTATTAATGAAATAGAGTTATTTTAGAAAACATAGTGGTATATAATATCAATTAAATTAGATGAACTAATGACTTTAACACTTTTAGAGACATTCCGGCTTCCTTGAACTAGAATTTTGAGGGTCATCCTCAAAAAATTTCCCCAGTTTGATCCTTCGGCCATTCTGCATGCAATGAAATATGTTGGCTACTCTGGAATTTTGAGAATCCTTCTCAAAATTCTGCCCTAATTACTTAATCGATTTCTAACTTTCTGGCATATGATGGCATCGGCTGGACTTGTTGCGGAATTTTGAGGGTCCTCCTCAAAATTCTTCCCCAATTTCTAGTTTTGGGGAAATAAAAGTTTAATTAAGATATAACCAAACCCACAAGGATGCCTACGTATCCCCTCTTAAATGATAATCAGGTCAAGCATAGTTCAGTTATATCAGATGAATGAATGCAAACAATCTAAGCATAGTATTTCTTGACTGCATCCGAATTGATAGGTTTTGGCCAAACTTCTCCGTCCATTTCTATGAGTATGAGTGCTCCTCCTGTTAGCACCCGGTGAACCATGTAAGGACCTTGACAGTTGGGTGAAAATATCCCTTTGGCTTCATCCTGATGCGGGAAGATTCGCTTTAGCACCAGCTGCCCCGGTGCGAATTGTCTTGGTCTGACCTTTTTGTTGAAAGCTCTGGACATTCTATTCTGATAAAACTGACCCTGACATACTGCATTCATTCTTTTTCTGTCTATGAGGGCTAGTTTCTCATAGCGGCTCCTTATCCATTCTGCATCACTGATTTCGGCTTCTTGTATGATCCTTAAAGAAGGAATTTCTACTTCGGCTGGAATGACAGATTCGGTACCATAAACCAGTAAATAAGAAGTTTCCCCAGTTGATGTGTGAACCATAGTGAGGTACCCCAATAGGGCAAAGGGTAACTTCTCATGCCATTATTTGTGATTTTCTACCATCTTCCTTAGTATCTTCTTGATGTTCTTGTTGGCAGCTTTCACGGCTCCATTCATTTGAGGTCTGTATGCTATAGAGTTTTTGTGCTTGATTTTGAAGGTTTCACATATGGCTTTCATCAGATCACTTTTGAGATTGGCGGCATTATTAGTGATAATGAACTCGGGAACCCCGAATCGACAAACAGTACGATCCTTGACAAAATATGCGACGACTTTCTTGGTTACAGCTTTGTAAGATGCAGCCTCTACCTATTTTGTGAGATAGTCAATAGCCACTAAAATGAAATGGTGCCCATTAGAAGTGGTGGGCTTGATCGGACCGATGACATCCATTCCCCAGGCACCAAAAGGCCAAGGTGCACTTGTTGCATTGAGCTTATTTGGCGGTACCTTTATCATGTCTTCATGTACCTAGCATTGGTGGCATTTTCGGACGTACCTGATGCAATCCGTTTCCATGGTCATATCCAGCTTTGAGTATCTTTTGGCTAGAACAAAACCGTTCTTATGTAGTCCGCAAGTTTCGGCATGTATCTCCTCAAGAAATCTGGAAGCCTCCTTTGCGTCAACACACCTTAACAACACAGATCAGGAGTTCTTCTATACAGGGTCCCTCCGCTTTGGAAGAAGTGATTGGACAGCCTCCGCAGAGTGCGTTTCTGAGTATGGTTTGCCTGTTCTGGATATTCTCCTTAGAAGAAGTGGATGTTATAACAAGCGCAAGTTGAAGAGAGGATGGACTCAGAGAAGATGAAGAAACTAGTGAGGATTTGGGAAAGGTTTGTGAAGTAAAGATTGTAAAGGTTGGGAAAGTGACCTATTTATAGCGGCCGCTTCAACGGTTTGGGGAAGCCAATTGCCGACCATCAGCCGCCTTCAATTAATTACCTTGGGAACTATGCATACGCGACCTTTCAATCACTTCTATCGCTGACGTCACGGAATTGACATCATGATCGAGGCATTGGAGGATCGAGGATCAGATTGTTTCTTATCATCTTACTCTAAGAAATGCGAGGATTATCTGTATAGAGTCAAAATCAGGCATGACCGATTTCATGTTCTCGAGGGTCACTTCGAGATCAAGTTCGGAATGGACCAGGCTCGAGCCCGAGGGCAGAGTACAAGACTCAAAGATCGAAGTGCTCAATGAACATCGAGGCCAAGTATGACCTACCTCAAGATAATATCGTTATGGTTTCATAACAGAAAGAGCGAGATTCCTGCAGCGGCCCTAGATCACGACGTAAATTCCGGAACGGATTTGTACTAGGCGGTTAGACAGCTGTATAATAAGATTCCCTACTACAATTAGAATTGTACCTTATTTAGGATTCTCCTACTATATAAAGAGGACCTCAATCATTTGTAACGCATCAATCATTGAGAAGAAAATATACATATTTCACTTTCTTGCTTATTGTTCATCCGATTTGCTTTATTTTTTTATTGTTCTTATCCACCTACCTCGAGGTCATCATTGCTCGAGATCAAGGTCTACTTACACGCTGGTTTGACTTACTTTACTCTTTAATTTATACATTGAATTCCTTGTTCATCAATTAGTATTGGATTAAATCACTTATCTTTAAAACCACAATACAAGTTTAATTGTTACTCGGATTTTAGGGTAAACACAAAGAATTTAGTAAAAATATCTTAAATTACAAAGTTGACTTGCAGAAAGCAAAAAGTGAAGGATAACTTGTGGGGGATGGATATCATGAGTAGTATTTAATTACCATTACATATTAGCAAAAAAAAAAAAAAAAACATTAATGTATATAAGATAAATCCTAAATAGCTAAGAGGACAAAAGTTTCAAAAAAATTTCATACAGATGGCTCCATATGTAAAACGGATAAGGCTTTGTATGAAGAGAAAAGCGCCACATAGAAGTAAGCGAAGGAGAGTGCTCTATTTGCATCAGCCATCTTCAAATGACTTGCTCCATAGCAATACTAAATTCCATTCCAAGTCCTTATTGTAAATGTTCTCCGCGGAGTTTATTTAACTGGGATTTTGGTAATAATAAAAAGACTGATGATAAGCCACAAGTTAGATACCATGATCTTGATCTTCCTTTCCCTCCTTCCCTAGTCGGCAAAACATTCTTGAAAGGTACTTCTTTCTTTCTCTGTTACAGATAATTCATATAAAGAATTCAAAAATGAAATGAAAAGAAAACCTTAGTTGAACTGAAGATCCAGAATTTAGAGACGGTAGATTCGGCTCCGACAAGTGTTCATGTATATATTCTTTTTTTCTTTTTTTTTTGTTTACAACAACAGCAACAAGCGTAGTGTAATTTCACAAGTGAGGTTTAGTGTAATTCCTCGTGTGGGGTCTGGAGAGGGTAATGCGTACAAATAACTTATACCTACCTTGTTAACAGAGGTGGACCTATGCTATAGGTAGAAGGGTCACCGGCACCCGTTAAGTTAGGCAAATTATTTATGTATACATGTATATGTCATTAGAAAATTGTGACATATTAGTAGCAAACATCCTATATACAAATCAGATTTTGGTTGAATTAAAAAGTGCACCCGCAACCTTAAAATCCTGGGTCTGCCTCTGCTTATTAAGTATATTTTATTTTTTGTTTCTCTGATGATAATTACACAGGAAGGAAACTGAAGTGCTGCTATAAGGCCTCGGTGGATGGATTTAGTGCAACTGACTTTCACAACAACAGTGATTTCAAAGGACCATGTGTGATTATTGGCTATACAACAAAGGACTTTAAGTTTGGAGCATTTAATCCAGAAGGCTACAGAAGTACAGATGATTACTATGACACTTTTGATGCATTTCTCTTTTACTGGGCTGAAGATGAACAACAACCAATAATCTTGCCTAAAGTAGGGGGAAGTGGTGCTGCTCTATTTGATTATGCTAGAGGAGGGCCACAATTTGGTGCTGATGGATTGTTAATTGGACCTCCGTTGGCTCCTGTTATGGGTGGATTTGCAGGTCCTGATACTAATTCTGGGATTGGTGATTTAAGGCAAGCTAAGTCAAGATTGGGACTTTCTTATGCTAAAAGGCCAGATGGTAAAGAGTCATTGTTTGGTGATGAGTCCAAGGCTGAACTTGATGAAGTTCTTGTATTTTGCAGTCCTCAAATTGCTAGCTTATATTGACTCAATTTTGGCAAAAATGGATGCCATTGCCTCAGGGAAAGTAAGTCTCTATGATCTTGAGGTAACTAAAGAAAATGTGTATTGTTATACTAGGTTTTAAAATGTATCAGTATAAATTTCACATATTGTGTATAGAAATGGGCTGCAACAGATTTTCCATTTCCTGTAACTAATGATATTGCCAGCTCATGCCATCATTTTTCAATAAGCCAAAGTGGAGCATAAGTTTAAAGTACAGGCCAAGAGGAGTACATAAAAGGAAAAGCATACATAAGTCCATAAAGGATATCTGGTTTTATTGTAGGATTATTTGCTAAGTGATAAAGGGGCCACACACTTCTTTGATTCCTCTCTAGCTAGCTAACCTATGGTCTTATTGCTGAACTAATAGTGAGTAGGAAAGAGCAATGTTTGATCAGCTGGTGTGCTTATCTTTCTTTCCCTTTTTGAGTTAATGGCTTCTGAGCTTTTGGTTACACTATTCCAAAGCTTTGTTAGTGTTGTTTCTTTGATTCATTTTATTACTGAAGCAAGAATGGTTGGGAGGACATCTTTTGTAATTGAGTTCAAGGAAACTTAAAGCAGCAAATGTTTGATTCTCACTTTTGTGGAACTTGCTTTTGTATTTTCCTTTATTGGTTTAGCAACTTCATTTTAGATTACCTTGATACCGTCCAGCATCAGATATGTCCAAGGCAAGAAATAATAACTCTTTTTTCTTGATAATTTGTGAAGTACTGTTAGTAACCGTAATCTTTTTGAAACTGTCACGAGCACACGGTGAATATGACTGAAATCTTTTACCATTCACTCTTTTAGTCAAAGAAATGTTGCATCAAATGGATTTGTTTGAAGTTAGAAAGCTAGGGAGAGCAAAGAAATGGTGATTCTTCTTTCAAGTTTCATAACACCCTGAAGGTGTTATAGACACATCTGGTGTGGAAATAGGCCTTCAATTTCCAAGAATAGGGGCGACTGCTTGTTACCTTTTCATTTACATTTGCCATCTTACTAGGTTTTGAGCCCACAAGATTGTTTTGGATATGTGCTTTGCCTAATGTCATCTAAATGGCAATTAAAGTGCCAATGATGATCAAATGATGTCAGATATAGCATTCTGAATCATTTTTGTAAGAGATTGAGAAAGGCAATTAAAGCCCTTAATCATGTAATTGAACTTAAAAATGTTAATGGCTATGAAAATGATGCTAGAAAGCTCAATCCTTTAACTTTCTTTTTTTCATCCTTTGCTTGTGATTTACTTTAGTGTTCCCTATTAGGATGGTAAAAGCAAGATTCTTTCTGGTCATTTGTTATAGATTCTTTTGATCATGAATGCTTGGAACTATCAGAATCACATCTGTTGATGTCAAACAAACGTTCAAATTAGTGACCGGAAATACTTAACTCTAAATTTGCATCTCATCCATATACCTACGAGTACAAGTGAAGCTTGGTTTATACATAAATAGTTATTGGGAAGCTATCAAGACCACAATCAAACTAGAATAGCAAGTTGTGCATATGAATCTCAGGCTGCATTTGACTAATTAGTTATTCAGTTATCAACGGGGCACTTCACTCTATTAGAACTTTAAACAATGTTTTTTCTTTAAATCTTGGTTGCATGTGTTGAAACAGTTCAAAAACTTTGTACAATGCAACCAATAGTTGCTGATTAGAGGAAGTCACTAGCTAGGAAGCTCTGCTGATAAACAGAAGCCCTGGAACAAGTTAATACAAGTATTTAACCATGCATTTCAACTTTGCAAAGCTGCTTTGGCATTTCTGGTACAAGAAAATTCTGAAAATTTGGAATATGTAGAGTGGGAAGACTTTAAATTCATAAGGTCTACGGCATTTTCGCTCCATTTTGATTGATATCTGGATGTTTGAAGCATCAAAAAACATTAATTCATATAGTCTACATATATTTCAGCTCAGTTATTGGTTCTTGATAACATTTTCATACATGGAAATGATCAGAAATAGAACAGTGACACATATCAGAAAGGGATTTAAGAAGCTTACTTTAACAGAAGTTCAGCTACTAACTTGACCATATGTCCATATCCCAGTGGCATCGTTAAAAATGATCATCACTGGGTATCTCATACTTCACACAACTTCAATGACAAAATATAAACACACCGAGCTGCATTGAGCTTTTCTTAGTATATTCTTATATCAGACTACTTAAAATATCTTCCTGTGACCATACACCATTATGTTTTCCCGATATCCAATTTTCACTACTCTGTCTGCATATTGGAGCTTGATTTCAAGTTTAACTCCTTGGATAAATGAGAGAAAACTTTACACCTATTTCGCCCCAATGTTCCTCAGAAGAGATTTGGATTTCCCAATAAGTTGCTCTGGTTATAACCTTTATACGAAATATCCTCATTGCGATAGAATTCCATGTAGGTTCCCTCATCTAAGAAGGGAGGTGCAAAGCCATAGCCACTGAGATCACCAGAAAGTTCAACGTCCCCTCTAAAATTCGGGAAAGATGAACTTGATGTGAAGTCATATTGATCATTTGGCTGCCATGAAGTCAAGTTTGGGAAGTCATACACCGGATAATTTCCAGATATACTTTGTACTTGAAGACATTCCTACATCCAGCCACCAAAATATTAATAATACAAACAACCAGAGTGGAAACAGGAGTGAATGCATAGAAAATAGAAAAACATTAGTACCTTTGAAGGATCAAGAATCATATTCTGAGACATCCAGAGGTTTGCAGCATTTGTCCCCATTGCAGACTCGGACTCTCCTATTTGTGTTGTCTGATAAGGTGAACCGATAGGAGTTGAATAGTTGCTGTCGTTGCACACGTATGTATTTTGAGTACTTGGCATGTCATCAGAAAATACAAGGGGTTCATTTGAGGTTACTGCTGATGTAAAAGCTTCATTGGTTGAACTGCATTCAACCTGTTTAGAGGTTGTTTCTGCACGACCATCACTTGTTTTCGATGAAATGTCCTTTCTCTTGATAACACGACAAAGAGCATAAGGCCCCTGAAGATATTTAAATAGTAGTTAATATCATGATCAATCTCTTGCAGGTTTTCATTAAGTGGAAGAACTTTACATTATGATTTATCAAATTTACCTGGAAACTTGGAGTGCCTTGTGAGACATCATCACATAGGCGATATTCATGCATCACCCAATCAGTTCTATCCCCTAAAGGAGCTCTTCCGCGATAGAAAACCAACGTCTTTCGGTATCCAACAACTGCAGGCTTACAGACCACTTTCCTGTCTTTCCCTGTTGCTTTCCAGTATCCACATTTTGTGGCTCGATTGGTTCTCGAGCCATTCGGGTACTTCTTGTCCCGAGGACAGAAGAAATACCACTCCATGTCACGCTTTGGCAAGAAAGATTTCTCTGCATCCCAAAGACATGATAACAGTACCCACAAATACCAATATCAGAATAAGCATTTTTAGAACTAACTAAAAAAAAAAAAAAAAAAAAAAAAAAAAAAAAAAAACTCTAATGCCTTTATACATGTTTTTGTTTTTGATATGTGGTTAGGGTGTGAATATAGATAATAACTCCAGCTTTAAAGTGTGAAAAGAGAGAGGCCCCACAGAGCACTCCATCTTGTGACCATATATTACAATATTATATGATTTGTAATTCATAAAAGAAATGGTTCTTAATGCGTAGGTAAGTTATCAAGCTGATCAAGAATGTATATATACCTGGAAGCTCCCATGGGTCAAATTTATACAAGTCTATTACTGGAATGACCTCCAACTCAATCTCAAGTTCATCAGTTTTCCTTTTCAGGTAATATCCAACCAATTCCTCATCAGTTGGATGGAAACGAAATCCTGGAGGTAGTGATGTTCCTCCCATAATATAAATTTAGCAAAGTACTAAGTACTAACTACACACAGAATCTTCTAAAACTAGATAGAATAGACCAGGCAGAAACTTCAACAGAAGTTAGAAGCAATGTGAAATTTAGCTAAGTGCCCCAACAGTACCTATTGAAAATTTGAAATATCCAAAAGTAAAAGCTTTTGGCTACACTAAATTTTGTCTCAAGAATTGCGAAAAATTTCCACAAAATGCACCCCTGGGACAACACAATCATCTTCTGGAAAAACTGTTCAAAACTGCCTTTCTTGCAAAAAGCCCCCCTCCCCCACCAATATTTCTTTGAGATTGGAATTCAAAGGAAACTCAAGTGGAAAGGTAGAAAATGTCACTATAGAGTTGTTGAAATTTTTCAAAGAAAGGATCTTTTCTAATACCAACAAGCCTAAACAGTTCAAAAATGACAAATGTGGAGAGTTCGATTGATCTAAATCGAAAAACAGACACCAGATAAAGGTTTATAGTAAGGTATACTTAGTTTAGAGTCTATAAAAAAGAGAAGTTTGTGTAGAGTAAAAGCAGAGGAATGTGGATGAGCTTTTATAGGAAATGAAAGGCCAAAAAGTCCAAAAATATGAAAACCGAAAGGTTTTGTAGCTTGTCTAGTGTCTAGGCTACACCAAATTCTACAAAAAAGGCCCCACTTAAACCAGAACCTGATTCACACCTAGAAATAGTAATACCCTGCAAAAGCAACCACTACTGACAGTTCAAAATTTGAGCATCCTGGAGTTCCACAATACTATAATTTAAATAACCGTGAGAATTCATATAATCGAATTTTTAAATTTTGTGTATTTTTTTGACAATTGTATTAGGCTGTAAAGTATTCTTCCAAATATATCGGTGAAGGGAATCTTAGTGTAATTGGTAAAATTGTTATGTGACTAGGAATCACGGGTTTAAATCGTGAAAGTAGAAACTGCGTCCAATAGACTCTTGTAATTTAATCCCTCCCCGAACCTCGCGCATAGTTGAAGCATAGTGTACCGAACTATTTATATTGGTCAGAGGTCTTTCCCTACTAGTCTTGAACTCATGTGGTCTTTCCACATCATCATGAGTCAGACAAAACTACTTTTGCTTGGTTTAATGGGAGTGATTTTGTCATTGTATGGCCCAATGTTCGAAAGGGAACAGGTCCTTAAAGGGTTTGATAAGCTTATTAACACTTTTGTGTAGTCACCAAAGAGTACAACTTAGTGGAAACTCTTATTCTGATTTTCTTTTTCAATTCACTTTTTTTCTTTAATCAGATGTGCCTCCAGTGACTTTGAATTCACATTGTTTGAAACTCCTTTGAGATGCTACCTGCATCCCAATTTATGTGAACCCTTGGTACGAAGTTTGAGAAAAGAGAAGACTGTGTGGTGTAAAATGAGGCACATATATTCTGTGTGGTTATAAATCATTGTGTAAAGGTAAATTGTTTCTAAATAAGGAAAGTGGTCATTCTTTTTGGCATAAACTAAAAAGGAAATAAGTTCACATAAATTGAAACGAAAGAAGTATTATAAAGTACATGGTAAGTTGAACGTTGCAGCCAAAACCAATGTGATCCCCATTAAGTTATTGGTTTCGGCTGTGATTAGTCTTAATTTAATTAATAATAATCTTCTGTATAAGATGGTCCCCAACTCTCATTATCCTCAAGAAAAAGGTGCAGATTAATGTGATCTCATAAGATTTACTTGCTTTAATCCTTTTCACACTGAAAAATGAGATACGAGACATGTCAGAAATTATTGTATATATTCTGAAGCTAGCTACATTTAGAGCAACAACTATTAGAAACCGTGAAGAGTTCATTTATCGGGAAATTAAAATTCTATTAAATTTTTACTTTAAAGCATGCATATTAGTTCCATAATTTGGAGCAAACAAGAACTAAGTTTGGGAAGTTAGGAATATTTTCTTGTCTTCCCTTTCGAAAAGCAACATTAGAAAAGGCTGCAGCCTTGTCATCCTAATTCCTACATCGAGATTAATAGCATCTATTGTATTAATGGGAACTGAAGAATGGTAAAGAATCAGATTTCCAACTAAACAAGCCATAGAGGTCTATGTTTAACCAAAAAATAAAATTTTAGTCAAAGATAGAATTTAGAAGAACACGAGCGACTGATAATCAAAAGAATATATAAAACGAAGTAATTTAGGTAGCAAGAGAGTAATCAAGAGAAAAACAAGTAAACCAAAGTTTATATCTTTAGTATTTCGTGTCCCCACAATTGATCAGATGTCTCCCTTTTATAGATATCTTGGAGATATACGTTTTGCTCAAATCATAATGAGGCTATTATGAGTAATTAAAGACATTTAATGTTACGTTACATAATCATTATATTCAATACAAATTCTCTAACGTATTCCACATTTAATGCCTATTAATTGCTGTATCTGCACTCTTTTCTATTGTCAGATTCATTCCTTTTGATTCTCGGACATAAATGACTTAGATAGGTACGGGTGCTGGGTTATTTGTATTCCTGCCCGTGCCTCTTCCTCTGCTATTTGCTCGTATCTGTTGCAACTCGTGCCTCTTGGCTAGTTATAATTCTTTGACCATTTGACCAGTCTACGTGTTTCGACACGTCATCTTCATATTTAAATATAATTTTTCCCAATATAGATAGTCCCCCTACTTTTCATTTATTCATCAGTTGAATATTTGGGAAGTGGATTTCATTAAAAGAGAATTTTTGTCACCATTAATGATATAACAAAATTGACGCTTCAATTGTCGCTTCCATTTAATGCTTTGTACATGTGTCTTTTTCCCATTGGTTCTGTAGTTTTGCAGTCCCTTTTCAAGGCTTTTTACGGCTCCACTATTCACGAAGTGCCAGTTATCATTATTACGGTCCTTCCATCACTGCACTTTTACTTTTAGCGGTGGCGTATTAATATAAATATAACTTCTTTCCTTGTCTTTTACCACATAAAGCTTATTGAACACTTAATTCCTCACATTATTCTTCTTCGCCATGTCTTCACCAAATCCCAACCCTAAGAGAGTTCCCATTGTTGATACCTTCCCTAATGCCCCCATTAGACATAGAAGGGGAGGTAGACTTCGTAGCTTAGGGTCTACTCGCGGTGGCGGTTCGTCTATACCTTCTCCTAGTTCTGGTTCTTCTTCCAAACCAGAGGTTCCCTTTCTCACAGATCCTCTTCTAGGGATAAAGAACCTTCTGAACCATTACGTGAACCTTTAGTAGAGGAGATAGTCCCTACAGAATTATCTTTTTACCATGATAGGGAATATCTTCGAAACCAGGTTTCCGCCTTAGATCGTGCTGACGCTTACCCCACTCAAATTACAGAAGTTTTGACTCCTGTAGTTCGCAAATACTGCCATTGGAGTAATGATTTTTCCATTATTTTCCCTAATCCAAATAAAAGAATTACTTCTTACTTGACTGGGTTCTCTTTTGTTTATACATACCCTTTCACTTTAGGGTTCAAACCAGCTATTGACCCAGTTATTCTTGAATTTGCCGTTTCTTTAATGTCTGTTTGGGTCAAATTGGCCCAATCATATGGAGGGTTGTTGCCTGTTTGAGGCATTTAACCAATTTGGCTGACGTTTCCTTTACTTTCCCTCACCTGATTCATCTTTACTCCCCTAGAATTTTCCGTAATGGCGTTTTTACCCTAGTGGCCAGGAGTAAAAGGGTTTTAGTGAGCCCTGAAGATGACAAAGACCATGGCTAGTATGCCCAATTTGTTGCTGCCCCACTGTTGGTTTAGTGGGTGAGAATAATGTTCCCTTCCATGAGAAGTGGAATTTTGCACGTAAGTCTTTTATCCGTCTCGCACCTTTTTCCTTCAAGTTTATCAACTTCTCTAATTTTTGCTTCTTTTTTTTAGCAACGGTGGGAGTGGTAGAAAATATTCCCATTTTTTGCGGTTGGGTAGATAAATTGCTAAAGGCCGCACTAATAGATAGTAGGTCTTGGAAAACACTTTCTAACCGTTACGGCTGGAAAGTAAAGACTCATGGTAAGAGTTTTTATTTCATCTTTCACGCATGTATATATTTTTCTTTATGGTTCTAACTTCTATCCTTCTTTTTATCAAGATTTGCTATTCGAGGAGTTACTACTAAAGCAGTTGCGGCCTCTCGTGTCTCTTCGGGAACCCGTACTCCTTCGGGAACCCGTATCTCTTTAGAAAGAGCCCGAGAAATAGTCTTGGGTTCTTCTTCTGCAAAAAGGAAAATTGTTGAAGAAGAAGACTCTAAAGAAGAGGGAGATGGGGGTTCCCTGGTGACGAGGCCACGAGCTAGGAGACGCATCATCTCTGATGACGAAGTCGAAGTTTCCCCTCGTCTTTCTGTTCCTCTTACCGAACCTATTGAAACCCCAGTAATAATTCCTGACGATGACTTCACTCCCTATGATACCCATGAATCTATTGATCAACTTTTCTTCAGTGGTTTTGGCAGTGGAAATTTAGGGCCTGTTTTAGATGAAATACCCTTGTCTTCTTTCTCAACTCCCGTGCCTGTGATTCCTTCCTTACCAGCCCCAGCTGTTTCTGTTCCTTCTTCTACTATTTTCACTTCCTCTACCGCTCCTCCTTCGACAACTCCCCCTCCTATTGTTCACCATACGAAAGCGGGCTCTTCAGGTAGAAGTGCCGCAATGAGGAGGGTAACCATTGAAGTTCCTACTGATAGCAGCCTTTTGAGAAAGTCAGGTCAGGCAGATGTATGGCTGGAACCTTTAATCAGTCAAATTGAAAAAGCAAAGCTGGAGAGACATAGTTCCCTGACTCTAATGAATGATATCGTGCATGCCACTTTGAAGGTACTTTCCTTCTCTCCCTTCTTTACCTTATAAAAATTTTTTATCTTTGGGATTCTTATATTCTTATTTTCTTTCCTTTTTTTAGGCCAATCTTATCGGCACAGAAATGATGAGCAGAATCTTTCTCTTGGAGAATGTAGCACGTGATTCTCAGTTGGAGGCGATCAATTGGAAGGAATAATTTAAGAGTGCACAAATTGATATGGAAGATTTACAAGAAGGCAAGAGTACCCTAGAACAGCATATGCAGGCTTTAACTTTAGAGTTAGCGGTTGCAAAAGCTTCCTCAAGCCAAGCAGAAAAAGACAAAGAACGTCTCAAATCTTCCTTCTCAGAGCAACTATCTAAGTCCAGCGAAGAGAACAGAGAGTTGAAGGCTCTTTTGAGTCGAAAAGAAGTTTACGCTAGAGAGCTCGCGCAAAGCTTAACTCAAGCACAAGAAGACCTTCGAGTCTCGGCTGATAAGGTTTGTGCTTTAGAGAGCTCTCATGCCTCTCTTCAAGCTTCTTACAACTCCGCCTTGGCTGAAAATGAAGAGCTAAAGAATGAGATTGCTGATTGGGAAAAGGATTATGAGACCCTTGAAGAAAAATCTGTTGTTGAGGTAAGTTGGGCATTTTTGAATTCACGTCGAGATACCCTAATTGAAGCTGGCCAAGAAAATTTCAACCTGGAGT